TTTTTTTTTTTTTTTGCGTTTTCACCTTTAATTACACATTTAATTGCGCAAAACATCATTCTTATTCAATTTCTCAATAAAAAATTATAAAATGATGAATATACCCTCTTATTTAAATGAAACAAAAAGAAAAGAAAAAATAAAGAACTAACTGCAATTATAGTCCCAATTTTTAAAAAAAAGTTCAAACGAGAACCAAACAAATTATTAAAAAAAAAAAATCATTATTCCTTCTTTTTCTTCTACCTTCTTCTTCCATCATCACCACTACCAACTTTTCCTCCCCGTCCAATCCCACTTTTTTTTTTCCCTCAAATCTATTCAATTTCCCTTTTTCCTCACCCCTGCATACTTCTGATTCAGGTGAAACAGCCTACCGATAGCTAACACTTTTTGAAAACAACACACTTTTCCAACCAACACTTTTTGAATTTACATACAAGTACACCAAAATATAATTCATGGAATGTACACTTAGCATAATTCTTTTCAAAACAATCATATTACATGTATATCTTGTTTTACATCATTTTTGACATTGTGTCACGTGTCGGCACATAATTAAACAATTTTTAAAAACAACAAACCTTTTTCGCTCAACACTTTTTGAATTTGCACACAATATACACCAAGATGTAATACATGGAATGTACAGTTATCATAATTCTTTTCAAAATAATCATATTACATGTACATGTTGTTTTACATCATTTTTTGACATTATGCCACTTGTTGGCACACGATTAAACAGTTTTTAAAAACAATACACTTTCCCGCCCGACATATGTTTAATTTGCGCACAATGTACACCAAGATTTAACCCATGAAATGTATACTTAACGTAATTCTTTTGAAAATCACTCTCTCACATGAACAAGCACGCATGAAAATTACCCTCTATAAAAGTTTGAGACCACTCAAATCCATTATTATGCATCGATCATCAAAGTGCACCCTTCGCCATGTGTCCGATTTTAGTGAGTAAATTTCAACCATGGCAGGAAAGTCCAAGGTAAAATCATCAGTTTTAGAATACACTATCCTCACAACCTTGAAATCGTGAAGGGTAGCACCAGTGCACCATGTTTAGTATAGATTGAAATATAAATTTTAATTTAAATCAAAGTTAACAATTAATTTTAATAACATATTTCATGAAATCCATTACTATTTAACTTTTATCAAAATTTACTAAAAATTTGATTTTAATCTCCATCAAACAGGGGCAAAATCACAATAAATTTTAATTTTTCTCATTTTCTCTCGCTTTTTTTAACAAAATTTTAACTCTTCATCAAATAAGAGCGAAATATTGCATTCTTAATACCATTTCGAAGTGTTCACGATCTAGTTTTCTACGTCGTTAATGGTATACGAAACGATTAATCATAGCAAATGCTACGACTTATCAAAGTAAGCCGTTCAAAATTAGTATTTCGAAAATTTCGATAATATGCTAACTTTACAAATTCTTCATCGATCGTACGCTAATCGAATCTACAAATTGCTTGTCATTTCAAAACTTATTTGGAGAACTACATTATACGTATATCAAATAATCCAAAAAGTTATTGAAAATAGTTAAAAATGCGTTAAACGTGAGTTTTAAAGAAAGACGTTCAACTTATATTTTCTTTAAAAAAAATTCAATTATTTCATTAACATTTATTATTTTTGCAATACAAATTTCTCAATAAAATCGTCATCATTTTATTAGGAAATTTTATATAGAATATGACATAAAAAAATTTCGAAATTTTACATCTGAAAAAATCATATCTCATGTAAATTTTCGGATGTAAAATTACATGGGGTATGATTTTTTTAGACGTAAATTTTCGATTGTAATATTTCTCTCAATTTCTTTGCAAGTTCGATTGTGCACCTCTAACTTTTAAGTTCTACGTCCGCCCTGAGAGCCGGTAACACTATGCTTTCGAATACAAAGGTTCCATAAAATAATGGGCTGCAAAGGACTAGTAAAGAAGTCATCATATAAGCATACCAAGCCATTTGAGCCGCCAACTATTCGAAAATAGCCGAATTGGGATGTGAAGGGAAAATATAGTTCGTCTTGATTCTCCCCATCTTTAAGCAGTGTGTAGTGCTCTACTCTATCATCTTTCACGTATAGTTGTAAGTAGAGCGTGTTGCCTTTTTTACTTGCACTGATTGCAAGGTGTGAGAAGATGAATTCGGAACTAGTGATGATTGAGTACCACAATTTGCAAACTGCGGTGAAACGGAGTAAGGGTTTTGCAGGTAATTTCAAGGGTAATTAGCACATTGTGTGCTTGTTCGTGTGAGAGAGAGAGATTTTGAAAAGGAAAATGCTAAGTGTACATAATAAATGTACATAATGAATGATATAATGTGATGTGGCAACCATCCAGTCGTTGATGTGAAAGTGTCAGATTTGAATTGAAGGTTTTGATCAATGTCACTTGTAATTATGTAGACCATTATGTAGACAATTATTCGCATGGTGTTCTTTCATGATCCAAAAAATTAGGTTGCACAAATTAACCACTTCCACCCCATCCGATACCCATTTTGTGATTGTTTGGTAATACTTTTAAGTTTTTATAAACAGTAAGTCCTATAGAATATTTGCATTTATAATAAACTATATTAAGTTATAAATCTTACGAAATATGTAGATTAAAAGTATATTTGACCATGAATATTTGCATTTATAATAAACTATATTAAGTTATAAATCTTACGAAATAGGTAGATTAAAAGTATATTTGACCAAATAAAATTAAAAGTTAAGTTTGCAAAGCAAATGTTTAGTATCATTATAATATAAACTAAATATTTGTTCAAACTCATTTTCAATCATACATTTCGTAAGATAAACAACTTGTCAACTTTTCAGTATACATTTCATCTACTTTTATCAAAATCTACTGAAAATCTAATTTTTGACTAAACAAACAAGCTTACTAACACATGTCAATTACTGGTAAAATTAAAAAGAATAAGAAAATTTCCTCAAGTAAATGTAGATAAAGCAGTAAATTGAACTGCACACGACTGTTTGATCTTCCTGGTAAAGTCAGCAACTATTTTAGTTTAGGCTGCTACAAAAAAAAAATGTGTAAAAAATCTGAGACTCCTCAAAAGAAGTAAATTTGAATTCTAATACTACAAAATGAATTAACTCTAATTATAACACAAAGTAAATGAGTATAAATTTGACTTCAAAACCTGATAATCTGTCTAAAGTCAGTTAATTGACCATTCCATTTATATTCTAGTCTTATGGTGTGAATGAATACCTGCATTCATTGCTCACGGATGGGGTTCTATAGCAGAATGAATCAACTTCCTTAAATCCGTAGGTTAGTCATAGAGCGTTCACATGTTCTTTAAGCTTAGTATTTTCAACATAGAATCCACATGTTCTTTGATAGAAAGATGTCATAGGCAACACATGAATGCAATCATGTAGTTGAACATCATGCGTTCTTTGAATATGCATGGTTCAATACAAACAAACACGAAAAAGCTAACAACACACTATTCGCTTCCTAAATGCATATTTCACTAGTCGAGCGTTTGACACATGCATTATGGGTTGAACCAGATAAGGAACACGTAAAAATTCGCAGCATTCATAATCATAAAATTACGGGTCAAGAATCCTTCCTTGAAAGAAGGATTTCTAAGATCTTTGTGTGGTTGAGTCACCTTACTTTTCAAGCATCAAATTCTGCATTTTCTAGCTCTCCAATGATCTCAATCCCGATCATAATGGAAGGAGATTATTATCCAAAACCTAAGTGCCTAATTTTATAGTTTCTAAAAAAAAAAAAAAAAATCGTTTTAAGGCCTTCTCAATTTATGTGCGACTTTCCATACGAATTTTACACTTTTCTTGCCATCCTTCTCTCTCCCAAATGCTAGACAAAATAATGGAGGTCAAAATAAGAGCTATGGGAAGTTATAGGGGCATAGGTTTGAATTCTAAATTCAATCCACTCCCTCCAATTCTTTTGATATTATGGGTCGCTTCACATGTGCGATGCACAACCCGTATTTTCCAACAGAACATTATAACGCTACAAACTAAATCTGCACTAACAGTAGATAAATTAGCAGGATATGAGTCAAGCAACTACCTTTTCCGGGTAATCTCTACAGCTACCCAAAATTCCTTCTGCAAACGAGTAGCAATAGGCTCATCTCATCAGTCAAGTGGACTGTGGCGATAGATACTCATTCCAAGTTTCATCTAAGAATCCATAATCCTTTTGAATGATGGTGTCGACCGTAATATCAGTAATTAACTATTGTTGATACATAGCATTATGTAAATTTCTTGGGCAAAGTAACCAATCAAACCTGTTGATACCATGTCCATTCAGACAACAGATAGTGCCAGCTACAAGAAAACTTAGACGGTGCACAAATATAAAGTAGTTAGAACATTCAGAAATAACTTCAATATTGAGAAACAACGATGGAAAGGTAATATGTCATATACAAAATAATAGGATTCGAAGTATCTGTCAAGTGAATTCTAACGAAAGGGGACAAAGATAAAAGAAAAATACAATCATGTCCAAAACTGATGATTGCATTTTGTGTAACATGCCTCTGATCTAATTATTCAGTTCTGTCAACTATGGAACAGAAAAGTAGAAGTAAAGAAGCTTTGTATTATCTGTTAATTACACGGGGATCTGGTGAAACTACAAAAGTAGATAACCTAGAAAATCAGGAAAATTTAGGTTTAGGCATGGATGAAGAAATATGATCTGTAGGACCAAGTTTTTGAATCCAATGAAGTAGTCCCTTCTTATGATCATGATGTGCCTGGTTCTGTACCAGGTTCAGGGTTCCATCTCGGGCAAGTGAATACTGAAACTGCTCTAATACCTTCACAATCTGCCAAAATTCGGGCCTCTTGTCTGGTTGCACAGACCAACATTGTTCAATCAAAGCTTTCACGGCCGATGGGCAGCCGCCAGGGATAACAGGTCTCATGTTCTGCAAAATCCCCAACAGAATATATTTCGGTATCAGACATTACGAAAATTATACATCAACAGCAAAAATGTGGGAAAGGGTCCATAAAAGTAAAAATGTAAATAACAGAGCCAAAACAGTAACGAGCCAACCTAATTTATCTGCTAAATATAGTCATGTCTGAATACTTAATATGAAGCCAATAAGCATTGCCAACTGCAAAATGTTACAAATATTGAAGAACAAAAAAATCACCTTGCTCACAACAGCATAAGCAGCTTGTATAGGCGTCTTATCTTCGTAAGGGATAGTTCCAGACACAAATTCCCATAATATGAGTCCAAATCCATATACATCGACCTTCCGACCATAGTGCTTCCGCCTGATCATCTCGGGTGCCATCCAACGGTAAGTACCAGGGTCATCTGCCAGAAGATCACAGTGCATTTCCTCACAAGCTATACCAAAATCAGCGATTTTCAGGTGAAAATCTTCAGTCATGAGTATATTTTCTGGTTTAAGGTCTCGATGAATAACGTGCTGTGAGTGAATATATTCCATTCCTTTAGAAATCTCCAAAGCCATTGACAGTATTGTTTGCAATGGAAGAGATTTATGCTCGAGCTTATGCAAATATGCTCTCAAAGAACCCTCTGATAAATATTCTGTCACAATGCAAAATACAGGTGGCATTTTGGATGCTGCTATGAACTGCAATTCCAGATCATTGCAAAAGATGTAAAAAGGAGTTTGATGAGAAACAATACTCAAACTAAGTTTCTCAACAACAGCAACAGAACAAACTAAGTTTCTCAATAAATTTGGGGTCGGCTACATGATTCTACTACATCTACTAGAAGATCCAAAGCAACTTATACCCTAAATTCACAGAATAAAACTTAGATAATTCAAAAGAAAAGGTGGCTAATTAATTAGACAAGGACAAGAAGACAGAGAACAGGAATCAAGTACCTTTATAACATTTGGATGGTGGAGATGGGACAAGAGAGTAACTTCCCTTGCAAATTGATTCTCCAACCGTACACGCAGGGCTCCAGTTTCGTCATTCTCTGGTACTCTAATAATTTTCACCGCTACTGGTTCATCATTATAGACCCCATGGTAAAGCTGACTGTGAGCCCCATGAGCAAATCTATGCCCAAGAAATAACTTAGAAAGATCAATCGTGCAATCATCCGTAGTTTCTACAGAGATGACCTTCCCTACACCATGATCAAAATACTTCGTCCACCCATCCTTATGACCCTTAGACTTCTCATGAAATTTCATTGATGTGAAGCGCCTAAGGGGACTGGCATTCGCTGGAAACTTTGAACCAGGAATTTTCGATTTAGGTGCCTTGCTATCATGGGAATCGTTATGAAACAACTTTCCAACAATTCTCTTATCGTATTCTTTTCTTCGTGGATGTGGAGTCGAGAATCTCTTCTGACTAGACCTAGCTTCCTTAAAGGTATCAGAAACCTTCATTTCAGGGAAGGGTGATAAAGCCCTTGGCTTGTTTGTGGCAGGGTTTAGCTCAACTTGAGTGACTGTGCCTCCTGATTTTGGATTCATGGTGACTGCTCGAGGCCTAGATTTGGCACCCGGGATTCTATCTGGCTGAGCAGCAAAAGGAACAGAGGCCAATAACGAAGAATCTAACCGATGGCAAACCGTGTGAGAGAAATTCGTTCTCCTTATCCAAGAGCTAACCTCTTCATCCATCTTCTTCTACTTTAATGCTCTAGTATTATTTACTATTCTTTTCCTCCTCCTTCAGCTCCAACAAATGTTTAAAAATCAAGATTTTCCACCAAAATCCCTTTGCAATTCACATTTCTACGTCAAAATATAAACAGTGAAGAATCAAATTTCACCTCCATTGATATCTAAAAAACCTCTGAACTAATTAACAACTGCTAGAACCAGAAACAACTATACACAGCCACAATCAAAACCGGAATATAATCTGTGAACACAATTAAAAGCAGAAAATCTCTCAAATCTTAATCAACCATCAGAAATTTCAAACCTTCAATCTTAAATCAATCAACATGTAACATGCTTACCAACCAATTACCAAATACTGTTTCATACCTCATAAAAATATGACCAAAAGCTCGATGGATCGAACAAACGCCCTCTCAGTATCAAAGTCAAACACCACCTTCCTTCAAAACCTGAAGATGACACACATAGTCCCAGGTAAAATCAAAATCTATTGAATAATCATAAAGAACATAATTGTACACCTATCTGCTATCGCATCCAACCCAACTTCAATAAAATAAATAAAAAGAACCCTTTCTCTTAAACCAAGAAACAATAATAAACATGCCCACGAACATAAAACTGGGATCTTGACTTACCGAAGGGTATATCTCTAAAGATATCCTTCCACTTATTCTTGAAACAACGAAATGAAAAAAAGGAAAATTATATTGAAAAAGAGCCACAAATTGCATGCCCCAGCATCATGGAATGGGATTCTCAGCAGTTCTCATTTATTTATATAAAAAAATATCTGTATAAAATTTTGAAAATTATGCGTATTTCATACGGAGAGGGGAGCTGTACATGAATGATTCCCCTGTGGATCCGGTTGAGATGTAGGCTGATGGTGGCAGGTGGGTTTCAACTTTTCGAAGAGTCAAGATAGGATAAACAGAAAAATATTAGGCAGAGAAAATGCAAAAGTCACTATCGTACATTTGCAGGTAAAGTTTAAAGTTTTGTTCTTTCTTCCTTTCGGTGAGATTGTACGAATTGCACGGAATCGTGTGATTGTTGTTCAATCATAAAGCACACTTCAATCATCGCATTGTTGGATTATTTTATTTTTTTTGTTCGATGCGGTTAATTTTACGGTAAAAATCAAGTGAAATTTCGTCCTATATATGGGTAAAAACAGCAACATTCCTGTAGTCGAGAACTTTGTACCAAATTTCATATTGATCACTAAACTTTCTTTTATACCAGAATAGTCACTGTACTTTATAAAATATATCGCTTAACTCACTTGTTAGTTTCCCATCCAAATTTTAGGTTTTAATAGATCTTTTTTTTTTTTTTTGATAACCCTGGATGTCTGGACCAGTTTGCGCGCACCTCCACTAATTCCACGGGTCCCTAAAATTTACGGTCGGATACTTATCTCAGTGGCCCTGAGGAGATTCGAACTGGTGACTATTGGAGAGTAAACTCAAGGCCTGACCAATTGAATCATCCCTCAAGGTTAAGTGTTAATAGAAATAGTGACATGGCTTAATGCAAATCAGATTTTTGGCATATTTTGTTGTTAGTTTACCATTTTTGTTCCACTGAAGTTTAAATTGCCTCTTGCTAAGAGCACTCGATTGTTAATCATTCAAAAATCATAAAATGCTTTACTTCGATTTTCATTTCAATTTAATTTATCATTGTGAGCTTATTCATTAGAAAACCTAATCCAAATAACAAGTCGTTTCTTTGGGTTTTTTTTGGGTTTCACCGAATATTTAATTGAAACAAATTTAGATGTCATCGAATGCAACATACTTAACATTGAACTTTTCAAATTATTGCGAAGTATATATAAAACCT